AGCTCTCAGTAAGCCACTCTACGCAAGAGGACCCAGCACAGGGGTGCCCAAAGTAGGTATCCAGTGTGTTAGCAGAATATGATGTACGTGCTCATTTCCTTTTATGGAAATCTTCTGGTTAGTAAAAACAGACGAAGGTCTCCTTGTGATAACTCTAAAGCCTGGGACACACAGTTCCCCCAGAGAGTTGTACGTACGTTAGAGTTGCGTTTTTGTTTATTTTGAGCTGTCTTGTTAGGGAAGGATTTATGTGCTGGCATTGACATAGGACAGCAATCAGGCATTGTTTTCTGCTTTGACAGTTGGCGTGATAGTTTGCTTCCAGTGAAGTTTGACTCACTGTATCTGGAAGCTGTCAGAAGTGGGAGCATGAAAAGGTCATGACGGATGGCCATGGATAAGTGGGTAGGGGAGGAGAGCTGGTAAAAGAAGAGAAGTGGCATCCTTGCTTCTGAGGGAAGGGGCTGACACTGTCCACTTCAGGCCAGCTCCCACACTGTCTTCCTCGCTTCTCACAGCTGGTCAGGTAGAGCCTGTGGGGGTGGCCCCAGGGTGGCCGTAATGCCACAGCGGGAACCCTTCCCAGCCGCTCAGCCACTGGGTGCTTGAGAGCTGCTAGCCGGACATAGTCTTTGTTTAGGGCTGCTTTCATGATTACCCACCCCAGGATTCAACATACTCCCTTCCCCACACTGGAAAAGTTGGGAAAGGGTATTGAATCCTGAAGTAGAAACCAAGAAAATGTCAGATCCTAAAATGAGGTTTGTTTTTATTTTGGGTGAAATTTCTGTTTTGGAATAATACAGAAAAGGAAAGGATGTAATCTTACTAACCAGAATTGACCACCGTTACGAGTTTGGAGCATATCCGTTAGATCTCCTTTCTCTAAATATTTTTCCTGTCCTTTTCACTTAGCTTCACAAGAATTTTTCCAAGTCAAAACTTTTCTCATACATATTTTTTTCATGGTTGTGTTATATTCTTTCATGGTTGGATTAACTGTTCCTCTATCAGCCATTTGAGTTGGAGAAATGTAAACTTAACATAAGCCAACTTCCCTTGTTTTCTGGGACATATGTTTATAATTTGAATTACTTAAAAACAGTGCCTTTAAGGAGCACGCCTGTCCTTCCTTCGTGGCTTCACATAAAAGCTTTAGCCAAGGACATTAAAACCATGCTCAGTGGTCCTACAGAAGAATATTGAAAGGATTTCAGGCTCCGATTTGCCATGTCTGAACAAAAATAGGTGTGCACTTATTGGCACATTTGATTGTTTATTTGTTCCTTGGTAAAAATTGAAAGAGGACATTAAAGACTAGTTAGGCAGAATTCCCCATTATGTCTGGATCCAGCTGAATGAGGCTGTGCAGAGCAGTGGGAAATACCATACTTGGGAACCAGGCAGCTCTGGGCTTAAAAGTTCCCCAAGCCAGGACAAGCACCTTCACCCCTCCTAGGGCATGTAATATAGAACACCTAGCACAGTTCTTGCAGAAGAGCGTAGTGGCTAAGCTTTGCCACTTTTTAGCTGTGTGATCTTGGGCAAGTTACTTAACCTCCCTGTGCTTCAGTTTTCTCATCTTTAAAATAGGGATAAATATAGTAACCAGTGGGATAAGGGTGTCACACCTGAGATTTGAATCAATGCACACAAAGAATCTCTAACCATGCTGACATGTGTTTTCAGCCAGTGGTGTTCACCCCTCTTTGCCCCCGGCCTGGACTGTCATGCCAGCCTCCTGACTGGTCACCTCTCCACCGGGCTGCTTCCTTCTTCTGACCAAGAAGGACACCTGGGACTCCCAGGCAGGGACAGAAGTGGTCTCTCTTTGCTTCCAGGCTAGGTTCTGGAGACTCTTCAGCAGCGGGTTCTGGGTCCTTCAGGGAGAATGGGCTCCAAGGCGATACCACCTCAGGCCCACCAGAACTGGAAAGCAGAGGGTCGTCACTTGTGCAGCAGGAGCAGACTAGCTCCTGTGGGCTGTGGGCCCTGCTTGAAGAAGCTGAGACTCACACACATCTCAAGTAGGGTGAGATTATTTAATGTACAAAAGGATTTTTCCCATCAGGAAAGATCCCCCTACAGGTTCCTTTAAATAGTGACTCCTCTAGGCAGGCAAGTGTTTTACAGATCATTAACTACTTGACTGAAAGCCTGCAGGGCAGAGAAACTTAAAACTAAAGTGTTGGGAGTCCCTGCCAATTACAGATCAATCCAAAATGAATACAGAGTATCTCTGGAACTAGAAGTCAGTGGGAAAATGTGACTTGATTCAGAAAAAATCTGATTTACAGGCAACTTTTTGGGAACACACCAGTTGTTTAAATGGTGTTCCACCTGCCTGCCCATCTTGAACCTAATGCATTCATCTCCCACATCTTCATTCCCCAAACGCTGGAATTGGGGTTCCCCTCTACAAACCGTGACTGCACAATAATCCCCGGAAAGGGCGTCATTGGGAAAGTGTTCTTGTGGCCATGCAGAGCGCAGGCAATTGATGCAGAGATAGAGCCTGAAATGGATGAACTATACAGTAACAATTTGCAGATAAAAATAATAGAAGTTAAAGTGTACTTTACATGATAAAAGAAAGATGAAAGAGGACGAGAGTCTGTTACATCTGAGATGGTTACAAAAGTCCTGCTTTGTGAAGTAGGCTCTGTTGAAAAGATTGATGCCATGGGGAGTGACCTTGGCTTGGAGCAGGAGCTGGTGATGTATGTATGAGCATCCCTCTGCTAAATGGACCCAGATTTGTAGCACTAATATACATGGGAGCCCAGAACCAAACTCAGTACGGCAATAAATCAACAGCCACTTTGGGTGTCATTTCTGGTTTATATTCCACTATTGTTCTATCACTTTAATTCATGTCACTATCATCTTTTCATCTGGAACAGTTTTATATAATTTTCCAGTGGAGTTACCTGACAAATCCTATCAAATTAACAAGGTACATTAACAATATTGACTGACTACGGCTTCAGGAGTTGTGGGGCCGTAGAACAAAATTTTAAAGCCGTACCTCTCTGGTGATGATTTTTCCCCCCCTTCTCTTTCTGAGAAGGGAATGTGGGGCAGGGTTTATTCTACATAAGAGATTTGCACATTTATTTTGCTCTGCTCGTTTTTGACTTTTATAAATGTCAAAATAAGCAGAGGAAGGATAGGGGACCAAAACAAAACAAAACAAACAAAAAAAAACACTTGCTACCAACAACCATGGCATAAGTACTTTTTTTCTTTCAGGGAACTATAGAAATGTCCAGATCTTTAACAATTAATGACCAAATTGGAGGGAAGAGTGTAACTGGGTAGTCGTAATCTATTTTAAGTGAAATGTAATAAAATTGGTCTCCTGATACATTCTCACCCTCCTGAAATCATCTAGACCTGAATGGCCAGAGTCCACTGAACTTATGACATTGTGCCTGATTGAATTATGGTGTTCCTGAAATATGTCTAATGACAAATTCCAGCATTCAATTAATAAAAAAATACCAATTGTTCATCTTTTCGAAAGACCACCCAGTAATGGCCAGGGTTAAGCAACTGTACTGCACTGTCTCCTCTGAAGACAGCAGACTAGACTCTACCAGAGTCTGCACGGTCTCTTGCCTTTCTTTGTCTGCTATTTGGAATTTCTTTATTCATAAAACAAAATAAAAATGGAGTGTGTGGCAGACCTAATCATTAGAATTTTTTTTATATTTGTTTTCTTGTTTAATTTTGAATTTGCTCTCAGACTGAGATCATGGTGTTATTGGGGGGTTTTGTTTGTTTGTTTCTTAATTGAGCTCTTTCTTTTATCTGCTTTTTCTTCTGGTCTACGAAGTTTTCTCATGTTGTCTTGAAAAATTCCTGAGTGTGATCCATGGGGTGAAATGTATTAATTCTGATGGTCTTTTTGTTACAGTATGTACATTTGATGGTTTTAATTACCTCCTATCTTCACTTGATTTTGCTTATTTCTACTTTGCCCCTGACCTTTAAAGTATGGCCTAAATATTAATTACTTTCAAGATTCTCTCTGGGGCCCACTCTGGAAGGCATATTGAAGGTTTTTGTCTTACTCCATGAACAGATTCCTCGATTTTCGGCAAAAAGGGGAGCAGAGCATGTCTAGCCCAGATCGTGTGTGTCCAGCTGAGCATGTACTGCTCAGTGACACCGGGAGAGCAATTGCCAGGCATTGCCGCTGTTATCCTGGGACACCTTTCATCCCTGGCATTACCTTTGTTCTCCGAAAACCTTTGCTCCCAGCCACTGTACAGTATGTTATGTCTTCCACAGCTCTGAAAATGAAACCTGAAGTGCCAGTGTTTAACATGCTGGATTCCTGTTGTAAAGTCTTTGTTGCATAAAGCTCACACCCAGTGCTGTTTCTCCCTCAGCGGAGAACCAGTGACCTCCACAGACTGAAGCCAAGCTCCCAGACTTGAACTTGGAAGGCTTTATGTAAAGGACCCTTTGATCCCCCTGTGACTTCCTCTCAATGTAGCTGGGATAATTATTTAGTGTCAGAGAAGGAAAGAGAGATTTTTTCCTATTTTTAGTGTGTAAGATTCTTCTAGACCAGAAAGAAGGAAAAAAAAGATCACTGATCAAAATTGTTTTTTTTTTTTTTTTTTAATGAACTTCACGTTATGGTTTATTTCATTACAACACAGAGGTGTTGTGTAGGGTTAACAATATGTAGGTAAACTCTGTATTGTATCTGTGATACATCTAAGACAGCATGTTTCTTAATACCTTTTTTGTATAGGTTTTGCTGGTTTCTCCCCCCAACTCACCCACCCAGAAAACCAGGCTGTGCACTTCTGTGTGCCATTTGGAGTCTGATGAGCTGGTGGCATTCCCCAAAGCCATAAGAAAGAGCTCTTTTCATCCAATTTAGGATTTATAAAACTGGTCAAATGATTACACTGAAATCACTTACACCTTCCACTTTTTGTGGCTTCTTTTTTGTCCTCCCACCCCCCACCCCGGCCTTACAGGTATCTCTGGAGACAAAGTAGAGATAGACCCTGTTACGAATCAGAAAGCCAGCACTAAGTTTTGGATTAAGCAGAAACCCATCTCAATCGATTCTGACCTGCTCTGTGCCTGTGACCTTGCTGAAGAAAAAAGCCCCAGTGAGTAGTCCCTTTTATTTATGTCTTCTTTCTCTCTTCCCCCTCTTCCCCTCTGTGTGCTGGGTGCCAGGAGAATATATTGCCACCGTGTCCTTTTTTCCTTGGGTCTGTTTAATTCATTACCAGAAATTTCTTTTAATCAAACAGGATTGTATTATGGTGCCCAGAGCCTGACATGGACCCCCATCCTGTTAGGTCTTGATGGCAGCAGAGAACCTCACAGCCTGGCTTCTGACCTTAGGAGCCCTGCCCTGGGGGATGGGGGCGGGTTCCCTGCTGAGAATTTGAGTCACCAGAGCCCTCATTTCACTTTGTGCTCCCTTCCTCTACCCATTTGGGGGACTTGAGCAGTCAGACCCGGACCTGCCTGCCTTCTTTGCCAGATCGAGGGAAGCTGGGAGATTTCCTGTGGCAGCCAAAGACTAGATTTAGATATCCATCAAGCCGGAAGTGTCAACGCCCTCCAGGTTATTGGCAGCTGCATGACCTACCAGCTCATAATTAAACTCCTGCCTGGTCCTGCAGAAGAGATCGCTGCTGGGTTGGCACTCCTCTGCTTAAATTATCGAAGTAGATACAGTCTGGTTGTATATTTTGGCATATTATATTTTTGCAGCTAAGTAATTGAGTGTAGTATTTAGATGAATCATTTTTAAGACTTCAGTCCCATCAAGAGGCAGAAAGGACACGGATCACACTGAAATTCCTCCATGGAAGAAAAAAGTTTAAGCCGTACAAGTTGCCTGGGAAAGGCTGCAAGACAGCAGTTATCAGAGTCTGGCACATATCAGCATTGCCTGTGGAGCCTATTTAAAACACAGTTCTCCAGGGCCCATCCCCAATGGGTTCTTTTTTTTTTTTTTTTGAAGATTTATTTATTTTATTAGCGTGCGTGCACGGGTAGGGGGAGGGGCAGAGGGAAAGAATCTTCAAGCAGACTCCCTGCTGAGCGGGTGGCCTGATGCAGGGCTCGATCTCACCATTCAAGAGATCATGAGGTCGTGACCTGAGCCAAAACCAGGAGTCAGACACTTAACCCGACTAAGCCACCCAGACACCCCTCCCCAGTGGGTTCTGGTTCATTAACTTGGAGGATGACGCGAGCTTCTAATTTTTGTTAATCCCCTTTATTCCAGTGCCCACTGAATTGGGGAACAAATGTTACAAGGAATGACATACTCAAAAGGGACAGTAAGAAATAGAAAGGCCAGCAAGTGTTTATCATATGGTTCAAGCTTTTGAGATAACACTGACTGATCAGAGACCTAAAAAGCAGAAAGCCCCATGAAGGGGTCTCATGGACAGGGCACCTGCCACATTGCATTTATGGGTGGGTGTTTGTGTTTTGTCACATCCAGCTGTGCTAGGCTACATAGTCTCCTCCTTTCAACCCATTAGTCTCCAGCTTGGCAGGAAGGGAGAATTCAGTGGTACAGGGGGAAAGGAGGCAAGGTGTGCCCATCCACTACCCCTCCCCCCGCTTCTGCCATTCTTTTCATCCCAGTGAGGGGATTCTGCAAGATGGCTGCCAGAAAGGGCTGGTGAGAAAATTGCTTACCGTTCTGGGGCCCTTGCCTCTGCCTCTAGATAAACATCTTCTTCCTAATTCCTCTCACTCCAGCTTATCAGCCAATAAAGATGTCATTGTTCTAGCATCTTTCTTCCCAAGAATTCAGGATGCTTTGAAAAGTAACATTGTGTAAATTCTCCATGTCTCTGAGAAATGAAAGGCAGTTACATGTTGCATAGAGGGATAAGCTGGAATAGAAAGGTTAGGGAAAGAACTAGAAATAGGATTCACATTTCTTTTACACTCATACGGAGACACTCACTTGCCAAGGAAGGCTGCGTGTGATTCAGGCACTGAACGGTGAGGGTGTAACGCACCCCATCCAAGAGGAAAGGAAGAAAAGATGCACAGCCACCACCTCCAGTCGCCTCTTGCCGTTAGGCAGTCGGAAGCAAGTATTACCCATCTCTGAGAGTGAGGCCAAGTCTCGAGCCTTGAGGGTACAGAGCAGACGTGGTCCCCGCCATTTCAGTATTGGCAGTCCAGCAAGCAGAGTCTTTTCTTATTTTCAGACCTGCTGGGGGGTTCTGTGTAAAAACTGCACATGTGGGTCCTAGGGAGGATTCCTGCTCTCTCACTCTGGCTCCAGAGATCTAGAAATTGTGGTTTCCTTGAACAGAGAGGCTCACTGTCCCAGTGAGACATTTCCCAAGTCCCTGTTGCCCATCACAATGCTTTCCAACCCATGTTCCTCAGAGCTCTAGGTTCTGGGTGGGGAGGGGGGACCTCAGGGGCCTGGAGGCGGGGGAAGGAGCAGGTTTGGTCATAAGGTCTCCCCTTCAACCAATAGAGTGCTACTTTTTTTCTATTTGGGGGTGGGTAATAGGAAGGTGAGGTGGGGTTGTGGAGGACACCGGGGGAAGGCATGTGCTATGGTGAGTGCTGTGAAGTGTGTAAACCTGGTGATTCACAGACCTGTACCCCTGGGGCTAATAATACATTATATGTTAATAAAAAAATAAAAAATTATTTTAAAAAATAATAAAAATAAAAAGTCAACGAATTAAAAAGGATTTTGCTGCTTTAAAAAAAAAAAGTTTGAAAGTTGCAGACTCACAGAATAGACTCCAGGCTCCTCAGCAAAGGGCTTTACAGACATTGACCACTCCAGGCGCGTAGCCCACAATTTCCCATCCTGGACTTGGGGTATAGCCACCGTGAACTGTTTCCCACAAACACACCTCGCATTGTGTGCTGTTGCTGTTCCCATGGCCTGGAGTGTATGTCCCCGCTGCCCCGCCCGCTGATGGACAGGCGCCTCCAGTTTCTCATGCCTGGCTCTAGCTCCAGGGTCAGGCTCTCTGACTTCGTCAAACCTCTGGCACAGCACCTCTCCAACTGCGCTGTGGTTAATGACTTGAAGTCTGTCCCTCTGTCCCACCCCCATCTCCGTACTCAGCTGACTGATCCCGGAACCGGTTTCTGTAGCCCCATCCCTAACCCAGTGCCTACCTGCAGAGCTGTCCTCAGTGAATGTTTGCTGTCTCCACGCTGCCCTTACTGAGGCCAGAATTTAGAAACCAAAAGTTTCTCAGCATAATTTATGCTGTAAAGTGCCCAAACAAAGATGTATTAACTGAATCAGCTTGATGCTGTGTTTTTTTTTTATGATTTCCAGTATCTTCATCAAATTAATTCAGTGACTTAATCTAAAAAGTTCATCTTCAAGACCATCATCAGACCACAGAATTAATCTATGGGGCTGCTTCTTCTTCTTCTTCTTTTCTTAAAGGATTAATGGTAACCCCTTTTATCTTTTGTGTCTGTTGAACCTTAGAAAAAAGTTATTTTAACAGCACTAAAGAAATGAAAGTCACTATATTTCATAAGTTTAGCCTGTGATTTTTATCAGCATAGTGATGTATGTTTGTAGCTGAGTTTACATCAAAAATTATTCTTGGGGCCTTCTTGAATGAATTATGGCAAAGAGAGAGAGTCTAGAAATAGATAAGGTTTTTGATTTCTGCAATATATTTCCTTTTTCGTGTTTTTATCTCTCGTAACACAAGTGTCTTGCTGAAGACTGGAATGTGTGACCAACTGGAATAATTTAGTTGTGAAAACAGCAGACGTGTTATTAAACAGCCTTCTTTACAAAAAAGGCATTAAGTGTTGGGAGGATAATGAAGTTGTCCCGGTCTGTCTTGAGACATGTTTGTCAGAATTTTGAACAGAAAAGAAACGGTTTTTAAAACCTTCGAATATGGCCAGTTTGCAAAAAAGCCTCTGAAAAAGCCTCTGTCAAACCATTAATTTGGTCGTCATAAGGAACACAGCTCAAGTTTAATTGACGCCATATCCAAAAAGTATGTGAATAGCGGCCTTGGCAAAGGGACTGAGCTGCAGAGCGCCTGCAGTGAGACACGTAATTACACATACCATGGATCAGAAAGACCCAGACTCTGCAGCCGGGCTCCATAAATAGCCGTTCTATGGCTCTCTTTGCTTCCCCTAACTTCTCCCTCGTAGGCTACCTTCTCAGAAGGAGGATTTACTGCTCTGTCCCTGTGAGTGTTTAAGGACCTGGAACTTAATGACTAAATAGATACATGCCTTAGATGAAATTTGTACATATAAATATGGACTCTTACCAGAGTTAGTGGAGAAAATCTGTGTATCAAAAGCCCTGAGAAATTAAGAATAAATTCTGCCTTTCTAGATTGGAGAGGGGGAAAAAAAAAAGGCTGCATGCTGCCATTATTATTCAAATCAGTGATTTCGCAGTCTGGTTTTGCCACTCTTTAGGATAGCTTTTTGCTATTTTGAAGGATGTCACAAACCTCTAAAAGATGAATTCATTTTAATTCATTTTAACTGAACGAATATGTATACAGCGCATAGAAGGGGAAACTGTTTCCCCATTAGGACCTACCATGGCATTCTCCATCCTCATACAGGTCTAAACCTAGGCTTTGGATGTAGCAGGCTCTCTTTTTAAGTGCTAGCCTCAAGTTCCAACACTGAAAACAAAAGCAAGGGACCTTTCTTTTAAACTAACACCCTTCAGAGACTCTCAGGCTGTATTTAAATAAAGTACCAGACTCAACCATGCCAGGTCTGGTTTTATCATAAGAAGGTTGTGCAGGTTTCGAGTCTTTAAAGGAAGCAGCCTATCATTAAGAAATCAGATTTAAACCTTAATAAAGTAGCTGTCGTCTTTATAGCTGAAAAGAGCTCTGTATCTCAATTAAGTATAGATAATAGAAAATCTTAAGGAAGCAACATAATAGAGGTAACCTGATTATGTTCTCTTGCAATAGTATAATTTAAAGGAAATCTGATTCTGTTGATGCTGGTGGGGGAATGCTTGTTTGGTTGTTTTTGTTTTGTTTTTGTCCAGAACAGTGTTTGGATACAGGATAGGAACTCTTTGGGATTATGAGTCAACCACAACTGCAGGAGACTGTCAAGCCCTCACGAATAGAACCTG